CTCGCTGTCTGATAAATATAAGTGTTGGTGTCGCTAAAATTGGAGTTGTGTCTTGTGTTGTCTTTTCTTGTAGTATTTTTCCACATGCAGTTTGAAATTGGTGCAATTTATTACTGATATCCTTGTCATAACTGTCTGTTATTTTACATACACCCTGTGTGATTAAACTGTGCAAATGTATTCATTTTGACAGAAATCCATTATGTGTACAAAAAAGGAATATTCATTTTTCAACTGTTACCATGGAAAGTTGGTAATTCAGTGTTTGTAAAATGAAGAGGCAGCATATGTGGTTATTTCTACTTTTGGGTTATTACACTCACCTCAATAAGCTTGTGAATAAGGTCAGTACTGTAGTCTATACTGAACCGTGGCACTGAGACCAAGATCTCAGTGGCGTCTAGAGAAGACACAATGTTATGAAGTGAAACATGGGTCAGGTCACGAACCAGTTGGTGGGCTGTATTTGGTTTGTTTGGTAGCAGAAGCAGCAGTGAGAACTTGTTACCCTGTTACAAATAATAGAAATACAGTGACAGTTAGTGATGCTTATTACTTTGGAGTTAAGTTTAACGGATTGGTACTGTTGTGTGTCGTAGTTTCCTCTCAGATTCAAGACTTATTGACAAAATAATATATCCTTCTGCTTTAACTGATTAGGCTATCTAGTCCAAGGATTAATTATGAAATGGTAAATATTTTAGACACACTATAGGATTCCATTACAAGGTTATGCTCTTACAAAATAAGTCAAGAGAGATCCATGCCATGAATGATATCTGATCCCATGATCTCTGTATTAATACATGCTACTACCACTTTGATCAGCATTTAGCATAAATTATAATTAATATGTATATGCACCTATTTCTGTTTTCTAGAAAGGAGGTCACTTTTAAGTTAAATAGTTTTTACTTATTTCATCTTCCATTATACCCTCATTTTAATAAGATGTTTCTAGCTGTTATGCCTATTGAACCTTGTATGTAAATTATTTATTTAATGATTATTAACTGCTTTAGTCAATGTATCTTTAGATGTAAGAAATTAATCCTGTCATGATGATTAACCATATGAGTACCAGTCGGCTGGTCCGTCGGCCGAAACGTCGTTTTCTGCGTAATCTGATGTTTTAATTACATACAAGGCTTCCAGATGGCAACGCAAGGATGTATCAGATATGTAGTTTATACTTTAGTTCATATTTTCCTCAACAGGTCGTTCTTGTAGGCGAAAAAGAAATTATTTGAACAAATGAAATTCGTTGAGCTCCCACGTGGACCTAGGGGCGTGATAACAATTATTGCTCGTGGTTTTCGTTGTATTTTTTGCTAAAATAAGTGTTTAGCTTTGTAATTGTGTTTTTATTTGAAGTTTATATAGTGCATATGATATTTTTTCGTTATTTTCTTTTGTTTATTATATATAGGTTTAGTTTCTTTAGATTTCTGACTTTGGCAATAACTGGTCCAAGTTCAAAAATGGATGCCGCCGACATTTTGAATTAGTTGGATAGATTAGGTAGTGATAGTGACATTATTCCCGAAAGTGAGTTTGGTTGTACTGAAAGTGATTATGGCAGTTCTCCAGAAACAACAGGCCCACCTGCTGACACTATGTCCGATATTGAAGGTACGTGTATATTGACGTACAAAAAGTGTCGTATTTCAGGACCAGATGACAGTACAGACACCAAACTCATCAAATTATCCAGACATAAATGTTCTTTCTTGCAGGATGAGTGACGAAGAAGGATATATAATTTAGCCTCCAGAAAATGAATTTGTTTACATTACTTTTCAATATTTCAAAATTTTTTATAAGTTAAGTATAACGTAGAATTTACGAGATTTTACCCTAATCTACAGTATTTAGTGTATAAGTGTGATTTTTTTCATTGTGTAAAAATATTTTGTGAATATTTACATTTTAAGCTGTAAATACGTGAAAATTGGCTTGGATGTTTAGAACAGAACAGTGCAAATAGGCTTTGGGAGTAAGAGGGTTAATATACTGACCTCATAAGGCAATTCAACTGCATGTGCGTGGAGGTTGTTAATATAGGCATAATTATAGACTTTAACACTCTCCATGAAATATGAGTCCAGGCACTGGTTCACATCCACATAGAAGCACTTCACTGATGTCTTGTCGAAGTCAAATGCATACTTCCATTTTCCTTTGAAGTATAGTGCATTGACAAGCATTAGCTTAGTATTTGCTGAGAGGCTGCCTGTAAAATGTTACAGTCATTCAGTGATTTATTGGCAATTTTTCCAAAGTCATGTCATATCCAAGAACAGCAAAAAACAAAATTGAGATTCAGGATAAAACTGAAATATGGTTACAGGAAATGCCTCATCTGTTCTTCATATGCTAAGATTAATATGAAACCATTTTATGAACGGCTTTTATGAAACATGTTTGAAGGGTAACAAGGAAATAAGTACTGTTATATGAAAACTAATTGCTAAAGAAAACATTTGGACATAAGGCGGATAATTAAGTAGAACATAGAGAATGTTTACGATCAGAAACTTTGTGATTTTTCACTCTGTCAGTATTGTTAAATCAAAAACATCACAATGTACTGGAAATGTAGGTTATCTGGGGAAACATCTTGGAAAGTAGTCACTTTGGTGGCTAAGAATGTGGAATTTTAAGGAAACAGATTGAAATTACTCATCAAGGTCAGTGGCTGGCTTTCGAATATTGAAGAGTATTGAACTTCTGGGCTCCAGTACCAGAGAGTTTGAGGAAAAATGATCTTAGGAAACTTTTCCAGTAATAGCTTTATTCCATTGGATTGGTAAAGTCTTGAACCTGGGCATCTTGGGTGAAGATCTAAGTGCAAGATCATCATATGACTAACAAGAGAATGTGTTTCTTTACTTACTTAACTGAGTAGAGAAATGGAAGATGGAGGAATAGTGGTATATTTACTTATTATTTTGAGCCTTCATGTGAAGGGATTGTTGTAAACGTTTGACTAGTTCTTTTGAAACAAAATTTGAAAAACTATCCGTGGGGCTGCATATTAAGAGACGCAGGCATTTCATCTGCTTAAACCAAATGTTTGATTACTTAAGAGTTCAGTCAAATTCACATTAATGCAATTTACTATCTTAATTCTTTATACCTCAATAGTAAACTATTATGTCTTGCCTACTTCAACAGTCAGTAACTCTTCATGTTGTATTTGTTTTATATGATTGTCAGAATAAATGGGGATTATTTCTCTAAACAGGATTAACCAACTGATCTTTGAAATGGTGAAGTCTCACATTTTCTTTGTGGTACAGGCTGAATTCTTAAATATTATTTAGATGAGCTTTGGCTTCAAAACCTTAAAATACATCATGGTGTTAAATTCCTATTTCTTTTTTCAATTTATGTGTGGTCACTTTCTGTGTTTACCATGCAAATACTCTGCAGACATTGCCCCTCTTCAACCTACATGTCCAGCTCACTGTAACCTTAATATCCTACTCAAACAATACCAAGCTACTGAGGAATTTTGCATGCGTCCATGTGATTTGACTTGGTATCTGGTAGAAGTGGTGACAGAAGGGTGGGGGGCGGGAGGTTTGTATGACATGCTGTGTGCATACTCTGCTCAGGTTTCTTGTGATTTTCCTCAGTCTGTTCAAGCAGATCCTGGGATACAACCTTGAAATAGGCCATGAACACCTTCTCCTAAATCCTCATGTGTTATCCATAGTCTTTCCACCTTGTTCAGTGCTATGTATCCTGTTCAGTCGGGAAGGATTGTTAAATAACCTAAGGATTAGTCAGTCATTCAGTTTTCATACGTAGTGAGCAATAAGTACCTGGGTCTACTAGAGACGGTATCTGTCCATGTGTGTGCATGTTGACCCATGTGTTAATTAACTCCGCTGCATAAACAGGTGAAGTGAAGTCCACCTTCTCAATTTCGGTCATGTAATGTTTCTTGAGTATACCTTCATATTGCTGCTGTGGAGTGATGGTGTGGGAAAAGAATATCTGGTTTGCTGCCTCCACTCTGTTAGATGGATTATTTACCTGTGTCATAAAAATTGTAGCTTTACTTACAACACATTTCCACTAATCTAGAAGGAAACAAAGAATAACTAAGTGAGATGTGCACATCTCATTCTCAAAATACAGGACACAATCATATTGGGAGGAAAGTTAATGATTCTTTTGATATTGTGGTCAAGTTCAAATACTTGGGAACGACAGTCACAAATCAAAATGAGATTTAAGACAAATTAAAAAAATGACAGTCACAAATCAAAATGAGATTTATGACAAATTAAAAAAAACTTTTGAATAAAAATTTCTTTGGATATTATCCATCGTCTAGTAAATATAAAACTTAAAACGAGATAGGGATTAGCTCTATCTAGTGGGCCCAACTGTGTAGGAACCTGAAGA